ATAAGTGAAGCCTATGGGAGAGAATGAGTAATTATACTGGGGTAGGGAGGTATGGTCAGGGAGGCCTTTCCAGACATGAGTTGGACAAGCAGAGAAAGAGCATTCCAGGTGGAGGGAACTGCTGACACCAAGGCCTGGAGGCAAGAAAGAGTCTGGTGTGCCCTGGGGTTGCAGAGGAATGTAGTATAGCAGGGCCTTGGGGTCTGAGGGCAGTGGCCAGAGAGGAGACAGGAGCCAAATCATGAAAAGCTGGGGAAGGCCAGGTCCAGGATGAGGAGCTGGACTTGATCCCAAGAGTGTGGAGGAGCGATGATGGGGTGGATGGGATAGTGCTAGGCCCCGGGGACCGCTCTAGACAGTGGTAAAGTGGCAGGTGCCTGCCAGTCTCAGGCTCAGAGCTGACCTGTCCCCTCCACCAACCCCAGCACGGTGAGGACACCTTCAACCGGGCCAAGCTGCTCAATGTGGGTTTCCTAGAGGCACTGAAGGAGGACGCCACCTACGACTGCTTCATCTTCAGTGACGTGGACCTGGTCCCCATGGATGACCGCAACCTGTACCGCTGTGGTGATCAGCCCCGCCACTTCGCCATTGCCATGGACAAGTTCGGCTTCCGGTGAGGGCTCCCTTCTTGGCTAGACTCAGGCCTCCCCGCCTCACCGTCCCGACTGCCTCCACCCCACCTGGCTGGGAGCCAGGGCCTCCCTTGCTGCAGGACCCCCTGTCTCTGGACCTCCATCCCTCCTGGATTCACCTCAGGCCCCTCACTGACGCCTGACTTCTGTGCCCCAGGCTGCCCTACGCTGGCTACTTTGGAGGTGTGTCAGGCCTGAGTAAAGCCCAGTTCCTGAGAATCAACGGCTTCCCCAACGAGTACTGGGGCTGGGGTGGTGAGGATGACGACATCTTCAACCGGTGAGCAGGGACGGGCTGGGGCCTAGACTGGGTGTGCGAGAGTGGGTGGCATAGACTGGGTGGGGCCCTTTGCCCTTCCTGGTACCTGCTCCAGCCCATCTGTCCCCGTCCCCAGGATCTCCCTGACTGGGATGAAGATCTCGCGCCCAGACATCCGCATAGGCCGCTACCGCATGATCAAGCACGACCGGGACAAGCATAACGAGCCCAACCCTCAGAGGTGACCCCCAGCGCCCCTGACCCCAACCCACCCTTACTGCATAGAGGTGATGCCCTAGTGCCACTGAGCCCCCGAGGTGATCCCAAGGCCCCTGACCCTTGACTCCTAGAGATGACTCCCAGCGCCTTGATCCCTGTTCCCCAGTCCCCAGCTCAGCCTCACCCCAGAAGACTCTCTCCTCTGGCCTGACTCCTAAAAAGAACTAAAATTTAAGGGCAGGGCTTAAATCATCATTGAGTAGATTGCATTCCTCTCGGTGCCCCCACAGACCTCACTTGTGCCAGAGCAGATAGGATGAGAGACTGTGGGCACTGGGCACAATTCCTGGGCCTCGGGACCCAACAAAGGTGGCTTGGGCAGTATGGGGCAGGAATGGAAAGACATTGCTGAGCCGTCTGAGATTGGAGTAGGCGGTTCCTTTCTGAGGAGGAAGCAACACTGGGTGTCTGGTGCCGGCTGGGAGAATGCCTGGGAGGGCACGTGACATTAGATGGGGTGAGGGGGCCCAGAGCAGTCATACCCAATCTCTGTTGGATAGCCCACGTGAAGTTCATTCTAAGAGGAAGACAGGCTGCTACAGCACAAGGTGATCAGGGCAAGGTGCTGTCCTGACAAAAGGGAGTGATGGTGGGAGGCTTCCTGGAGGAGGTGATGGTCAATAGGGGTTTGAAAAGAGTTATTTATTCTGCAGATATTTGTCATACACCTACCTTGGGCACAGTGCTATATTCACCAGGCTGATGGGGGAGGCCAGTTTGGATAAAAGGAATAGTGTGTGTGGGAGTCTGGAATGTAAACGTCCATTGTATGTGCTGAGAGTCTGAAACTCTTTGGTATTACAGTCTGAAAGCTGGGAGGGATGGGAGAGGGGTCCATACTGATCCCAGACTGGGAGTTTCACTTTTGTCCAGGGGTGCTGAGGAGTCATGGAAGGGCTTTCAGTGGGGAAGGGGCATGATCATGAGATTTACATTAAGAAGGATCACTCTTTGAGTTTGAAGAAGGTGAAGGGCTGGCAGGGCTGCTGGGTGGACCAGGAGGAAGCAGATTGAGCCCGAAGGAATCGATGGAGCCCAGGGGGTATGCTGGCTATGAGGCTGCCGTGCCTCCACTGGAACAGGAGGAATGTTCTGCTCTGGAGCCAGGGCGTAAGAGTGCGGAGGGAGGCAGTAGCACTATGGGAGGTTGATATTTGGCAGAAGCAGGAAGCACCTGGTGTCCAGGGAGTTGATGAAAAAGCAGTTCAGATGAAAACCGTGGTGAGCAAGGCAGGGTCGACAGGCTGGGAAAAGAGGGGCTTGAGGGCATCTGACGGGGAGAGCTCAGTGTTGGTCTGGCTCTGGAGAGGGATCTGAACTCAGCTCAGGACTGGGAGGATCAAAACAGTTGGGATGAGGGTGGGAGAGGAGCTCTGGAAGCACAAGCCGGGAGCCATGCTCCCGTTTCAGGAATAGGGCGTCTAGGTGCCATCCTCAGTGATGTCTGCCTTTGCCTGGGGAAGTGGCAAGCTAGCAAGATGTCTCTGGCTTAAGGAACTCTGTGGATGCTGGTTTCATCTACCTAGTTGCTTTTGCCTCAAATCTAGGAGTTCTCCTGGGTTCTTCTTTCCCTCACTGTATATGTCCATACCATCAGCAGGTCAATCAGTGCCACTCCCCAAACATATATGAGCTCGTCCGCGTGTCCCTTTTCCTCTGCCCTAGTGCAGCCTCTGTCATCTTGCCCGGCTGGTTTCCCATCTTCCCTCTTCAGTAGTTCATGTTCTCTGTCCCTCGCTTCTCCCAAACTGGGCTAAAAATCCTTCAGTGTCTTCTCACTCACAGAATAAAAAACTGCGTCCTCTAATTTACAGAGGCCTGTCCATATACGCTCTAACCACCAAGCTAATCTTAATCTGTTTTTCTCCTTGGCCCATTAAGCTCTGGCCACTCAGCTGTGCAAATTCTCATTTCCAGTTTAGGGTCAGCATGTACTGTTACCTCTGCCTGGAATGCTCTTCCCCTGCTGTCAGCTTGATTGTCCCATACTTACCCCTTCCATGGCAATCACTTCTCCTGTCTTCTTTAGCACTCCGATGTGTTCCTTGTGTGTTACCTGTCCATTACCACTGTTTCTTAGTGGAACAGTCTTGCTGTGAGAGGAAAGACTTTGCTGCCCTGTTCATGGCTGTGTCCCTGGTGCTTAGAGTAGGCTGACACATAAATAGATGGTGACGGGGTGACTGAAGGATGAGGAACAGAGAAGGTGGCACAGAGAGTAAAGATAATGCATCTGATAAAGACATGTTGCATTTGAGGTGGTGGTAGAGTGCCCCATGTCTGGATCTGAGATGAGAGAAAGATTGGTGAGGGTGTCATGATTCTGGACTCAAGGGGGTGAGCTCTTTGTTGTGAGGGTAGATACAAGACCCAAAGGGCTCCAGGCAGGTGGAGGGTGGAAAGGGTGGCAAGGAGAACCAAGTCACCCCTGGAAGAAGCCAGGATGGCATGAGCCTTGGCCGCAGTGATCTCTATTGGGTTTGATGGTGAGCCCTGATCTGGATCCACTTCCATCCTATCTAGGTTTACCAAGATTCAAAACACGAAGCTGACCATGAAGCGGGACGGCATTGGGTCAGTGCGGTACCAGGTTTTGGAGGTGTCTCGGCAACCGCTCTTCACCAATATCACAGTGGACATTGGGCGGCCACCATCATGGCCCCCTCGGGGCTGACGCTAATGGACAAAGGCTTCCAGTGCCAAGGATTGCCTGCCAGAGGACTGACCTACAGCCTGGCTGGCGGCTGCCCTGTGGGGGATCCCGCAGGACTGAGACTGTGGGCTCTGTTTTCTGAGGGTCTTCAGGAGGCCCCCAGCTGCACCTGGAAGTTTCAGAACCTACTTTGGGGGGCTTCCATCCTGGGCAGGCCCCTCAAGTGTGGCCCTCTATGGGGTCAACCCTTCTTCCTGCTCCTCCCTCCCTAGTCCAGCCCCACCTCACTGTCAGGGTTGGGCCAGCCCCTGCACTGCCTCACCGAGTGGCCTGGGCCAGGTCACTCCACCTCTCTGTGCCTCAGTTTCCCCCCCCTTGAGTCCCCTAGGGCCTGGAAGAGTGGGAGGTATGACTAGGGGCAATGTTGCTTCCAGGGGGAATTCTCAGACCTGGGGATCCCCCACGCTCCCAGGGGAGGGGAAACCTTTTTCATTCAACATTGTAGGGGGCAAACTCCAGTGCGCCCCCTGCTGAGGAGCAGCCCCAGGAGGGGACCAGAGGGGGTGCTGTGTCGCTGTCTGGGATCTTGGGGTTGGGCTTTGCATGGGGGGCGAGTGGGGCTTGGATCAGTCAATCTGGTTCCCGCCTCCCCCTCTCAGAGAGAAGGCAGTAGCCCCAGGGCCGGCTCGTGTTTGTACATTGCACAGAAACTTGTGTGGGTGCTTTAGTAAAAAACGTGAATGGAGCAGCCCCTTTGTCTGTTGTTGATGGGATCTGGATCCCTAAACCCAGGCTCAGAGTGTGTTGTGGGAGAGCGCCTGGCCCTACCTATGGGTCTGCCCCGGGCTGTTCTAGTTCCCCAGGCCTCTTCAAGCGCAGCCTTTCGCTAGACTTCCGCGGGCTGGACCGCGGAAAAGTTTACCCTGCCGCTGCCTCCAGGCCAGAAGAGGCTGGGAAGTAATAAACCTAGTGGACTCAGATTTCATGGTTCTTTCACCTGCCCTAAAGCCGAAAGGTGCTTGGGGTCAGGGCGGTGGGGATGGTTGGGACTCCAAAACCACCTAGCACGGCTGTGAGGGTCGACTCCGCGAGCGCGCGCCGCTCTCCAGACTCGGAGTGGGCGGGGGTGGGGCCCTCTGGGGGCGGGGCCTGGGTAGCGGCCCTGTTTCCCGGGTGATGGCTGCGCGGAAGCGGCGGGGTTAGGGGTTAGGAACCAGGCCTCCGCCGCCTGGTTCCTGGGGCCGCGACCAGGAACCTCAGCCTGCGGGAGTCAGCCAGGAGCGAGGTAGGAAAGACAGCCCCGAGAGACCGGCGGCTCTGGACCAGGCAACTCCAGCCGTGGGGACTGGCGGCAGAACGGGGATGGGGCTTGGGAGAGGCCGGCCCGCGCGACAGCCTGCGGGCGTGGCCTGTGAGGCCAGGAAGGGGCGGGGAGTGAGCGGGCGTGCCGGTCCTGGGCAATGCGCGGTCTCCCAGTAACCCGGCCCTCCGACCTGATGTCTCTCAGGTCCAAGCCTGGGGCCGCGCATCGGACGGCGGCGGCCCGGCAGGCCATGTCTGAGGACTCCCCGTCGCTGTGGGAGCTGGTGGAGGAGCACGTTCCGCTCCCAGAGCAGCCCGAAGTAAAGAGAATTCTAGGGGAGACGGCAGTGGACCTGAGCCTGGAGCTGCGGGCAGAGGTGGGGCGTGGGAAGGTGGGCTCCACCTTGGCCTGTCCTACGACTCGGCTAATTTCCCCACCCCCTCCGGGTCCCTGACCCTGCCCGGTAACTCTCGAGGTCTGGTCTGATCTCACTGTCCGACCAACCTTCTCCAGTTTAACTCTGCCCTGCCCCTCACTCCCCAGGTCCCCTCACTCCCCAGGTCCCCTCAATCCCCTCACTTCCCTCCGCAGTCGCAAGGTGTCCCAGCTCTCTTTGCAGGTGGTGATGCTACGATCACTGCTCCGAGAGGCTCGATCCTCCCAAGCCCCTGGCTCCCGCCCCACCTTTCACCCTTCCTCCCTTCTGGCACCGCCGCCCCTTCTAAGAGATCTCGTGCGCCGGGAACTGCGGCAGCTGCTCCAAGGTCTCCGCCAGAAGGCCATCTGTGAGGGCAGGTGGGCGCCTCAGACCAGAACTCAAGTGGGCTAGCCCTGCATCTGACAGGGAGCCAGAGTCGCCTTTCCTTTGGTTCCCGGGAAGGAGCCCCTGAGTTTCCTTTGTACGCTCCTTCCGCAGGGACCAGACCCAGGCTTGGGCCCAGTATAGCCCCAGGATCCTGCGCTTTGCCTTGGAAGAGCCCAGGTGTGATTTGCCAGAACAGGAAATATTCCAGATGAGGGCTGGTGAATCCAGGTAAAGTGGTAGGAAAGGAGAGATCTGTCCCTGCTTGGCAGAGGGCCCCAGCAAACTGGCGGGTCCTGCCTGGCTGCATGGAGGAGCTCCTGGTCTGGGGCTGGACATTTCCACAGCCACTTGTGGTAGGAATTAGCCCATGAGGGCTGCAGAAGCCCAAGAGACACGTGTGAAGCCTGGGAGCTTGGTTTGAGCTGAGTCTTAGAGTCTGAGGAACAGACTTCCAGACAGATACAGCAAGAAGAGCTTTTCAGGAAGAGGAAACACCATATACAGACATGGGTGGAAGATTTCACCCAGTGGTCAGTTGTTCCTCAGGCTTTGAGAACAGGATTAAGGGCTGGACTGGAAAGGGCTAGGGGCTGAATGAGATAAATGAGCAGGAACACATTCTTAAGTGAACGGCAGCAACTTATTTCTAATTCTTACACATCCTTATGAAATGGGGGATGTTCCCATTTTGCAAATGAGGAAACTGAAACTCAGAAAGGATAACCGATTTGCCACACACACAGGGAAGCCACACACAGTGAAGGGTGGCAAAGCCCATTTACAAACCCAGGCTCCAGAACTCCTCTTTATATGGTATTATGTTGCCTTTGTGAGTAAAGACACAAAATTCTCTAGGAGAAATGGCTTTTGTGTACTGAAGGCCTGGAGTGAAACAACATGGGAAAGTAATGTTGACTTCATCTGCCAGCAGCTGTCCCAGAGACCTCAGCATCATCAAGGACCAACTGAATGTGTACAACATTGACCAGGTGGCCAGACACCTGCGGTGAGGCCCCTGAGTGTGTGCACTGGGGATGGAGAGCGGGAGGATGGGATGGGGGATGGACTGTAATACTCTGGGAGTATGGGAGAAAGGAGGCAGCACACCTGGCGGGGAGACCGGGAGAATAGGGCTGAGAAGTGGAAGGGGCAGGCTTTGCAGGGCTGGTGAGGTTGCTGCCAGGAAGTAGCCAAGAGCAGATGCCAGCAGGGGCTGTGTTCTGGGGACTTTTATCTTGAGAGGATGATGGAGAGGTAGACCACAGAAGAGTTTTTAAGCAGGGGAAGGGCTATGCTGTGGGGAAGAATGAAGGCAGGAGGACTTGCTGGCCCAGGGCACTTATGCAGAAGAGAGAATTGTGCCCGCTGGGGTGGGTGCTGGGAGGAAGGCAAGGAGAGGACACTTCTCGCCCCGGAAGAGGCTGGCAGGGGCTGCAAGGCTGTGCTGGGGTAGCGGAGGGAAAGGTGGGCTGAGAAAGGAGGGGCCTGGGAGGGCTCCTGGTAAGGCTGGAAGTTGGCATGTGTGGAGGGCGCAGCTGAGACCTGGGCCAGCGACGCTGCTGCTGGTGCCATGCTCCCCATGTCCCAGGGCCCTGCTGGAGGAGGAGTGTCGTATGTTGGAGAGGGAGATTCCCATCCTGCAGGTAAGCTGCAGCCCTGGGCCTCCTCGCCCCCAGAGCCTTTCTGCCATCTCTCACCTGGTGTGTGATACCCACATGCGTGTGTGTGTGTGTGTGTGTGTACGTGTACGTGCATGCAAAGGTTGTGTGAGTCCTGTGGCCGTTTCATCATGTATGCACACTTCCTAAGAGTGTGAATCCAGAAGCCCAAGGTTCTCATTGAGCCCCTAAATCCAAGGCCAGCACTTTTAGATTAGCCTGCTGGATTTGCCCTGGGTCTTTTGCAGCCTTCTCTGGGTCCAGGCCTGCCACCTACTGGCCAAACCTGGCTTCTCAGGGAGGCTGGCGTTACTCTGGGGGCGCCCTCAGGTGGTTGGGATGAGGAGCCCGCATGGGCTGGTTTCTGGGCTCTGCCCCAGGGATCTTGGCCTCTGCATCCTGCCCTGCCTTCCCCCGCCCCCCCCCCCCGCCATCAGTTCGGGGCACTGAGCTGGCTTTTCCTGCAGCGCTGCCTGGAAGGGGAGTACACAGGGGCACCCCAGCCCTCCGAGGCAACCCTAGAGCCCACCCTGGCAGGTGAGGACCCTGAGCAGGCCCCTGTCCTTGCCCCACTCCTGTACACATCCCAGAAGAGCTGTGTCTCAGACAGACCTCTCCTCCAGAGCTAAAGGAACAGAAGGCAGCCATGCAACGGGCGCTGCAGTCACCTCCGAGGCCCTCCCCGGTCTCCCCCAGCCACAGGTAAACCAGAGCAGATGAACTGCTGGACGGGGTGGGCTAAGGGTCAGGCCATGGCCCCCTCACAGCTACTCCCTCCTGTCCAGGCAGTGGCCCTTGGGGTCCTCCAGCCAGGGTCTCAGACCCTTGCCTTGCCTCCGTGGGGCTGCTGGAGTTTGGACCAGGCCTCTCCAGTGCTGCCTGCCTGTTCCTCCTCCGGAGTGCTGCCCCAAGCCCCGAGGCCCGGCTGCCACCTGCCGCTGGGGGCGGAAGCTTCAGTGCAGCCCCAGGAAAAGGCCAATGTCCACTCCAATGTCTAGCTCAACACCCCAGACCCCAACCTGAAGGGTCAGTCAGGAAAGAGGCTTCAGCTTCTGCTGGCATTCGCCCCATCTGCTGCTGCCACCTCTCAGCTGCGGTGAGCCAGCCCACTTCAGATCTGGTCTTGGATCAGCCCTCAGCAGGATCCCGAGGCTGTCTGTCACCCCGCCCCCTCACCAGGTCTGACCATCATAGCCTTTGGCCTTTCTCCTCCCAGGCATCCCTCAAAGGCCTGGTGGGAAGAGGTCTCATCTCAGCCCTGACTCTTGTTCCCCTGGGGGAACCCAGATAAAGCACAGCAGCTGCTCAGAGACAGGAATAGAAATTTCATTAAAATCTATGGACTTTAAAATCCTAGTGGTGCACGGATGGGCAAGGTGGGCGGCGCACCGTTATTGCTACAGAGGATTAGAGGTGGCTCTTCTGGGGCTGTCACAGCACAGAGGGGCACAGAGGACAGACAAACGGACACTGCAGGGCTTGGGGGAAGGAGCTCTGGCTCCAGAGAGGAGGTGGGGCACATGGGCTGGGGCCATTTGGCACATTAACAAGGGCAGCCCAGTTTGGAAAGACTGGGCCTTTAGCCTGGTGGAGGAAGGGCAAGGGGGTGTCAGGTAGGGTCCCCTTCCCCAGGGCTCCGGGCTCCAACCTCCTGCTGAGCATCACCCACCCCTACCCGCCAGGAATGAGTGCTTTGGGCAGGCTGTGGGGTCATGGGCCTCTGCTGGCTGGCAGGAGATGCAGAAAGCCCAGAGCAGCCGAGTGAGGTGCAGGCAGGCCCGGAAGACGGATGGGGCCTGAGGCCAGGGGCAAGGGGTGGCAACCACAGATAAGACAGTTTTTACAAAAATAATTACACAGACAAATGGCTGGGCAGCACAGACTGACACGTAACACTGCACAGCCCCCTGGCCCCTTACCCTGTCCCCAGGAAGGAAGATCCAAATTGGCCTGGGTAGAGGCGGGGGTCTGCTCTGAGGGCAGGAACACTGGTCAGGAGGCTGAAGGCTCAAGGAAAGGGACAGGTAGGGGGCCCACCCAGAACCTCAGCTCAGGGCAAAATGTGAGGGCATCGGAGGCCACGTAAAGCCCCACAGGTCTCTGGGGACCTGGCCTGAGATTTCCCCCCCCTTCAAAGTGCTTTGGGCTCCCCCCAGCAACCCTCCCATTGCCCACACCCCCCAGCTGCCATCTTGGCATCCAAGGACCTGTAAACACTAGGGACACGAGCACGAATGACCGCGCTAGCAGTGGTGGCCAAGGTGACAGGAGCCACCCTGGCCAGGGCATTGTGGGGGCAGGCAGTGATACTTGTCCACTGCCTCCCCAGTCTCTGTGGTGGGAGCACAGGGCAGGGGTAGGGCACTCCCCCGGCAGCTGTGCTCATATCCGGGAGTCCTGCAGGCGGCTGGAGCCATTACTGCCCACCATGGGGATCTGGGCCTTGTCCGGGTGCAGCGGCTGGACCTCAAGCCCGTCTTCAGGAGATGGCGGAATGGTGGGGGCGTAGCGCCCAGTTCGGTTCTCCAGGAGGGCAGGGCCCCAGTCTCTGCTTGGCTTTGTGGCATTTTTCAAACGCTGCAGGAGAGGCAGAGGTGCGGGATACGGTCAGGCAGGGCTCATCAGAAGGGAACCCTTAAGCCCCATCCTTCCACCCACTCCTTTCACTTGGCTGCCCCCTGCTCTGACCCCTCACCTGGAGGAGTGTATCCCCTTCTGTGCGGCAGAGCTGGAACAAGGCGTAGAGTGGAATGCAAATGACAGAGGACAGAGCCATGAGGAAGCCGATGGCCACAGCCCAGCCTGGATACTGGTAGTGGTTGTAGGTGATTGGCTGGTACTGGATCACCGTGAAGATGAGAATGAACTGCAAAGAGGAAGGGATGGGAGCAGGGCATGAGTCCTGCCCAGCCCCACGCAGGTCTAGGGCCTCCTATCAGCACCCCTCCCCTTCCTCTCCCAAACCAGAAAGAGGCATTTGGGGGAGGGTAGGGGGGTGATGTCAACGTTTGGAAAGTGGAAGAAGTTGATGAAACCAGGGTAAGATTCCTGAACCAGCCAGGAAACCATGCAGCTGCTGTGGCCTCAGGAAGGCAGTCAGTTCTGCTCAAAGACTCGCAATGCCGCCCCACTGCCTACTGAAGTAAGGCCAAACCCTTGGCTTTTAGGGCTTTCTCCACCTCACATCAAGACCTCAGCTTATCTTTCTGGTCCCATTACCCTGTCTCAATGTCTGAGCTATACCCGGCATTTTCCACCCTCTTCATTTACTATGGAGAGTCCGCTGCATCACCCTCTGCCAAACCTTAGGCAAATGCCACCTCCTTCAAGAAGCCTCTACTGATTTCCCATCTCCTCCTCCTGAAAGGGCTTCAATGGCATTTTCTGTCTACCAAGCATTCTTAAAATGTTTCCTACAGTCCTGGGAGTTCTCAGGGTTGCATCAGTTCTGGGTCTCCAGTGTCCAGCACAGTGCCTGGCATAAGTTCATTTGCTGATCTGAACTGACTTATGCAGAGAGGTGGGAGTGATGGGGTAGAAGGAAGGGCAAAGTCCTGCCTGTCTCCAGCTGTGAAGACAGTGACAGACAGCTTCGGGAGGCTCCAAAGGCTAGAAATAGTGTGTGTCAGGCTGGGGATGCTCTTGGAAAGCGATGAAGGAGGTGGGAAATAAAGCCTGGCATTGTAGCAACAAAATACTAAAGGAAGCAGAAAGATGGGCAGGGGGATCATGGGCCATCCAGAGGGCCCAGGGAGTGGATGCTGCCTGCCAGGAGGGCCCAGCATCCACCCCCCCAAGCCTTCAGCTACATCCCGGAGCTCAGGCTCCTCCAGCCTTCCTCATGACCAAATTTGGGAGGACAAGACCCATATCCTGGAACACTGCACAGAGAGGTGCTTAGAACAAGTTCCCTGAATGCAACTAGATCCTGATCTAAGGTGTGGACAAATTCCTTATTTGAGCTCATAGAAGGATGGAGTCTGTTGAAAAAAAAAAAAAGCTTTTCAGAAATATAAAGAAGTAAAGCCCCCAAAGAAAACACAACATCCCAGAAACACGTGTCCACAGAGCCTGGAGTCCTCACCTTAGGGTGACTCCAGCCTGGCTTTCTGGGCACAGAGAGGGCCCTGCACACTGCCTCAGTCTCGTGGAGACACTGGACCCAGGCCCCTTCCTGCCTCCCGCCCTGCCTTGGCGGTGCCTCGGGGTCTCCCCGCAGGGCCGCAGCCTCCTGGGAGCGATGGAGGATGAGCTCCCCAGGGCAGGGCGTGGAGGGCACGGAGCTTGGCGGTGATGCGTGTCCTCCCCCGCCTCCCACCCTTCACAGGAGACTTCCGCTCCTCCTGTTTCAAAGCTGGGCCAGTGGCCAGAGCTGGTGCCTGTGCCAGGCTCGGGGAGATCCCACACCCCATGTGACGGAGGTCTTAGCCCTCAGGGGCCTCCTTTTCAGAAACAGGAGCCAAAGTGGAAATCTGCTGCTGAGCTCCCTGTGGCACAGAGGTGCGGGCGTGAGGGGGACATGACTCCAGACACTGCCCTGGCCACTGGGCTGACCCCTCTGTCACTCAGAGGTGGCCCTGCCCCTTCTCTGTGGCAGGACCGTTACACTATCAAACATTACCCTTTTGCCCCCCTCTTCTCACCCTAGGTGTAAAGGAGCAAAATTGGAGGGTTTTTAGTCCATGGACCAGCCCTCCTTCCTGCTTCTTTGTTCCTAGTGTAGCACTGGCCCAGCATGTGGGCTCCACTACCTGCTTCAGATGGTGGCTCTGCCTGTTATCAGCTGTGTAACTTTGGGTCAACTACTTAACATCTCTGTGCCTCAGTTTCCTCATCTGGAAAGTTGGGATAATGATACCTTGGAGAGCTGTATCGCATAAGTTAATGTACGGTTCCTGGCCATGGTGGGAATTCCCACCACCAATTTAGCTCCCTGATGGGAGTTTCCCAGGTGTTGAATATTGGTAGAAAGCCAGAATTCACCCTCCCAAGCCAGCCCATCCACTGCCTGGAAGGCTTATGAGGGTGCCCCGGATTCTGAGCAGACATCTGACTCGTACAACCTGCTTCTGGAACACTCACGCGTTCACACCACGTACCTTGAGCACTCCAAGCACCTCGGTTGTGAGGAATTGGAGACAGGAGCTCAGCAAAAGCTGACAGAGGCTGACACCAATATCAATTATGGTCCCTGAGGCTCCTCTGGGGACGCCAGGCAGGAATACCAGGGAGGGAGGGCTGGCTCTCAGCTGCTGCCAGCCTGCTTTCCCCTTCTGAGGCTGGGTACCTTATTCAGTCAAATACAGCGCCCTATGCTCCCTTTCTAACCCAAAGCCAGGGCCTGGGTGGTTCTGAGTCTCCAGACACCTGTCTGATTCTATGCAACCTTGCTTGGCCTCCTAATGGCCAGAGTTGTGGGTGCAGAGCCCCCATGGGGAGCTCTGGTCAGATGGATGGGCTCCTGCTCTCCCTTCGTTGGCCCCCAGGAGAAGGACACTGGCTGAGGGGCTGCAGGAGAAGGAAGGGACCAGCCAAGGAACTTACAAAGATGATAGCTGGGGAGACAAAGCGCCAGCAGATCTGGAAGAAGAGGGGTGGTGGGAATCCCAGCATCATTTGGATGTCCTGGAAGTAGTTCCGGTGCCCTGGAGAGAGGGAGGTCAGTGGCCCGGCAGGATGGTGTGGGCAGGCCCCAGGGCTGGGACATGGGAGGCCATGGACGCCTGGGTACTTACCGTAGATGTACATGATGGACACACACATGATGCAGGAAATGACGACCAAGGAGAAGCTGGCCGCGTAGTTGTCCATCAGCAGCAGCCAGTAGATGCCTGCCTACGGGACAGTGGGCAGCTGAGTCGGGGGTGCCCAGAGCTAGGCAATCCCACCTATTATTCCCCGCCCCCACCCCCGGCAACTCCAGCCTAGCCTTTCCCTCGGTTCTTACCTGGCTGGTGAGGGGGATGCCCAGCAGGAAGCCAGCCACAGCCACGCCCAAGGTCACATAAGTTTTTTTCTGCAGGATCCACTCATTCCCTACCTCATCCACAATGGCCGTGACTAGCGTCTCTAGGAGGCAGAACTGCAGGATGAGGCCGTCAGAGCAGGGGCCTAAACTCAGCCCTGCCTCCTCCCTCCCCAAGCCACGGGCCCATGTCCCGCACCTCGTACCTGAGTGCCCAGCCCCAGCAAGATGAGCATGAAGAAGAACAGCAAGGACCAGAGTGGGGAGATGGGCAGCAGTGTGAGGGCCTCGGGGTATGCCACGAAGGCCAGGCCTGGGCCGTGGTCTGCCACACGGGACACGTCCACACCCAGGTGATTGGCCATGAAGCCCAAGATGGAGAAGAT